CTATTTCTGGGATTCTCACATCACCTGTTTGCTACATAGGGACCATGCACTCTGGACCTTCCATCTTGTCATTCATAGTCTTTGTCTCTTGACTTGGTAGCTTGCATCTCACAAACTTGACCCTTCTGACTCAGAGTTCCTCTTTCTCCTCCACTTCAGTGTCTGCATACAGCAGTCACACCACAACCTGTTTAGCACCTTTCCATTGCAGTCCTGGCTCTTGGGATCTCTGTGCCACATCCTTTTTCAGGCTTGACGCTTTGTTCCCCACTGTTGTGCCCTGCTCTGGACCATATGTAGCAGATGCCACTAGAATTAGTTTTCCTCTCTTGCAATCTGTCTTCCCACTTTAATAATATTGTGTATATAATTTAAGGAGTGCACTGTATTCTTTCTTTGCTGTATTGTTACGCCCATGGTGTTAAAAAACTAGCAACTTCTCTTGGACTTAAACTGTCCTGTTCATTTTTCCTCTCCTGCTTTACTGGCCTGCCTATTCTTGGCTCTTCTTTTTAGAAGGCATACGTCTACCTGTTTACAAAGCATCCTTTATTCCTGACTTTTCCAGCCATGTGTATATGCATTCAGTCCTTCTACACTGCAGTCACCAAAACCATCTCTTTCTATCATTGTTGATGATTTTGTCCACCCTTTTTATCTTGATTGGTGTGGTTCTGAGAGGAAAACCACTAAACCTTAGCTTTAAAGAAGCAAGGTGAGTTAGCAGTGGACATTCTTATTGTATTATCCCCTTACTCTCATACTTCCACTTCTTATATCCAAACACTTACCTTTTCCTGTTATTTGTTTTCCCTCTTTGGTCTTTCCTGTGGGTTAAGTCGGTTCTGATCTGTGGGTTAAGTCGGTTCTGAGAGCTGGCTTTATTTCTTCAAGTCATCTAAAATACTTGTAATTCCTTTCTTTCCCAGTTTAATATCTTGGAGTCTGATTCAAAGAGCTATTGTTCAGTTTGCGTCCCACCTAGTGGATGTAAATCATTGATCATTACTACCCTTTAGAGGCTTTTGTTCCAAAGTTTAGCTCCCTTAGCACCACAGGATTTTATGTTCACATTTGTTAATGCCATGTGCTGTGCATGTATATAGTTAATATCCTTTATAATCCTTCCAGTGAGTAGGCAGCCTTGGGAAGCAGAACAGAGGATAATTTTCTCTCAGTATGGCTGCCATGCCTATTTTTCTCTCTCCTTTTTTGCCCCATTTCAGTTAGACTTGTTCAGTGGGGTGGGACTGTATACTGTTACAAATGATGTTTATTGATTCTGCTATTGTTGCTTCCACCCCCACCCCAATCTGTGTGGATTTCAGTGAATCATGCTAAGGCTGTCTTGCAGTTTGCTTTTATGCAGACGAGCCAAAAGTATCAATTCAAAGAACTTCTTCAGAAAAGCCACATCTATTCAGGTTTCCTTCCTACAGACAATGCACCCTGTATTTACTCCATTGATATTTGATCAAGCATGGTAAAGTAAAAAAAAAAAAACTCTCAAAGTTAAAATGGTAGAAATATTTCTGTTTTTCAGACTTTTCTGGTAAAAGAGGAAAAACTGAACTTTGACTCCTAGCTAGCAAATCATTAATCTTGCATAAAGACCAATACACAGATTTTTGGGTAGATCTAGTTGCACATCTTCCTCCATTAAATTGAAACTTATATGTTGATCTCACTATGGTTTTCTTTTGATAGAACAATGAAAGGTTGAGATAGCATAAACACAGAGAAAAGGCTTTGCTAATGTTTGCTGCAGCAGCAGTGGCCCCACTAGATTACTCACTCTGGCTAAGGAATCCCAGAAAATGCGGAAACGCTCCTTAGGACATAGTCCTTTATAATGGATGGCCTTTACAATCTAAGGGACTCAGTATCTGTTCCCTTGGCTTAGGATTTCCTTTACTTCGGCATTTGCTTAGCAACCATCATCTTTTAAACCTGATCCCTTTGAGTTCAGTGGTATATCTGTATGGGTTTGCAGCCTCAAATTGATGTATTGCAGAAATTTGTATCATAAGGGCATGTCCTGGTCTTCATTTTTAGATTGTGCCTTTGTCTAGTTGACTGTCTGATGAGTGAAGAAGTTCTTGAGGTTCAGCCATGAAAGATCTGTGGTGATGAGGAGGCTTAATAAATCTACTGCTCATCACCTGCCTCTATTAATATGCAGTGTTTTGGTCACTCATTACTTTGTACTGGGAATGTTTTTTGAAAATGCCAAACAAGAACTGCCATCTGACTTTGTAATAATGTCCTCCTATCACATAGGCCTATTGTACTGCAGTCTATTTCAGCATATCCACAGAAAGATAACATTTCTCTTGCTTGTAATGAAATCTGGCTTCATAAACAAGGGCTGTTTATGTAAAACCACTGGTGGGGCGAATTTCCTTTGTTGGGACAGAAAAGGGATTCATTCTTGCATTATTTCCACTACAGTGGTGGCTGTATCAATTCATTTCCCCCCTCTGAATAATGTATCTAGGGTAATGGAACAGCCTATGCTTTTCATGTCTGGCACACATTACAGAGCCTGCTGAGAGAAGGAAAATTCATTGGGTGATACCTTTTGTTGAGCCAACTAGCTTCTGTTAAAGTATGTGCAAGATTCTGAGAGTCACAGAGCTCTCTTCGTGTTGCAATTGGGTGTGCTGTTGACATTTTTATTTGAAAGAGCAGAGGATAGGAATGTTCTTCCTCCAGATGCACTTCACTTGAAGAATCATAGCCTGTGGTACTCAGATATGCATATCAGAAAGTAAGCTCCATTCAGGGAAGCTCACTGTGGACACACATAGGCTCAAACTGTTAGTTGCTTAACCATGCCATTATTTCCACTACAGTGTTTTATTTCTGCTGCATGTTTACTCAGATGCAAGTTTTGTTGACTTCAGGGGGAATTACTGCACAGTCAGTCTGTGTCAAGATTGCGGCCTGATTCCTTCTTTCTGAAGTGCATCTACTAGGTTTCCTGTTTTGGATTACTATTTGGGATTGATGTAGTAACCTCCTTCATTGTGCTGTTTTCTACTCACTGATACAATCCTTTGTCAGGGCTGTAAGTGTAGGAAAGGTGTATGTTTAATGGGGAAAAGAGAGTTGAGTTCCTCTAATGCACACTACCAGCATCTTACAGGCATTCTTGAAGGTCGTTCAGCTGCACTCATAAATACATACAAATTAGGAGCTAAAAGGCTGTTAACCTTGTGAGCTATGCCATTTTAGCACTGCTGAGTGCATTCTTGCACTGTATTCCAGAGCTGTGTATAGTACATGCATTCAGAATGAAAAGTCTCTTGTTTTCCATTTTCAAGTTGGACCCGATGATGTCAAAAGGCCTTTTTTACAACCAACACTTAAACTGCTGCTTGTCTTGCTGTGGTGTCACTCCAGTAACCCCAGATCTGCATATTCAGGTGGTTTTTGTGTGGTTTATGATAGGTGAAGTACAGAAATACTATTGAACAGTTGCTCCTTATTATATTATCTTACAGTTTATGGTTAAAAGCCTGTGCCTTTTCTTTGACTTCCAGTTCTACAAATAGATAAAGAAATGTGTTTGCTGTGCGTGAAGTGATGAAGATCTGATATATTATCTCTTTTACCATGAATTGGAGGAAGAACATAGAAAAGGTTCTCAGCCTTTGGCTTTAGTGATATTTTGGACTCCAGCTCCCAGATTTCCTTGACAATTGGCCATTGAGGCTTCTTGAGAGTTCATGTCCAAAACCTCTGGAGGGCCAAATGGTGGGACTCACTGTCATGAACATCTCACAAGTGGATAAATCTGCCCGATGGTGGGAAATAAAGGGTTCTGTTTCATGCCATTGAATAATAAACAAAAGACATGTCCATGAGGTGATGGGTGAGGAGTCTTAATAATAGTTGATTATCCAAGAAAGCTCCCAGCCACTGAGGATTTAACACAGCAGTCCAGTGCACATCTACTCAGAAGTAAATGTTTCAGCTTAATACAGTAACCCTCTTTTACTACATGCAATATTAGACTAATGCCCATGTTCATTGAAGGCCAAACCAGATATTATTCAGGAGACCAGTGATTGGATGCTCTCTTTGTATTACTAACTAGCAAAGCCACATGATTGGTCTGAACACTGGGGAAGTGGCACTCAATGTGATGCTCAACCCTTTTCTGTTATAGTAATCCCTCTTCTTCAGGGAGTTTTGTGAAAGGTCTCCCATGCTGTGCTCCTGGGAACAGGATTGCATTGGTTCTCTCTTTCTATGGCTTTCCTCCCACTCCCTCTGTTTCTCTGCCTTTTTCTACTTTTCCAAATGTACTATTTTTTAAAATATGAGCTTCCTCCATAGCCTTACTTAATCTTGTCTTTGTGTGTGCATTTATATGAGT